AATTTCAAGAAGCCTTAGTCAAATGAGTTAAAGAACAGAATAAATTCTCTTCAAAATACTGGCATATTTTTTTAAAGATAACTTGTGTTTTTCTTATAAATCCAAAGTTACATAAGATATAAAATATTGATGTATTTATTTTCTTTTTTTTCTAAAAAATGTTAGCTTACTATAAAATAAATACATTAAAATAAAAATAAAACATTCATCCATAATGATGCCATTCCTCACTATTAAAATGCTGCATCTATTCTTTTAGAAATGTTTCATGAGCTTCCCCAGATCCCCATAAAATACTAGAATCACACTTTGCCTATTATACCACAGCATGATCTTTTTACTTAATAATACATTGTGAACATTGCTATAAATAGAGATCATAATTATTACTTTTTCAAAGTGAAAATTTGTTGAATGGAAAACTTTAATGAGTCACACAGTTCTGTTTTTGTGTTATAAGCTTTATGACTGTAGAAGGCAAAATGATTTTCCAAAACTGACTTTACTGTTTAAATGTAACTTACAAATAAGCATTTAAAAATATTAAAAGAAAGCTGTAAACTTTTGAAATGAGACCTTTGTCTGAAATGGTATTTCCAAATGTGTTTTCCCAGTCAGCAGATTTTCTTTACTCTCTGTTGGAAAATATTTTTTATGAACACAGGGATTTGATCTTTGGAAGGTTCCATTCATCAATTTTTATCCTCTCCAGATTATGCATTTCTGATTGTATTTAGCAGCTTCTTTATAGCATAGACTAGGCCGTCTAAGCTTGATCGCAGTTTGCTTTGATTAACTTTATAGTTCTAGGCTTTACTCCCAGATCTCTGATCCACCTTGGGTTGAATTTTGTGTATGGTGTGAGATGTGGATCCTGTTTCAGCTTTCTTCAGGAAGCAGTCAAATTTTGGCAGTGCAGTTTATTGAGAGGTTGTCATTTCCCCGTTTGATAGGTTTTAGTTCCTTGTCGAGTATCAGTTGACCATAGATAGCTGGGTCTATTTCTTGGCTCTTGATTCTGATCCGTTGGTCAATGTGTCTGTCAGGTTCTCCACAAGAAAATGACTGATAACTCAAATACAAAATAGGCAAAAGACATGGAAAGAATTTTCACAGAGGAAGATATTCAGATGGCCAACAGACACTTAAAGAAATGTTCAAAATCACTGGTAATAAGAGAGATGCAAATCAAAACTACAATGAAATACCATCTCTTTCCAGTAGCACTGGCATTCCAGTAGCATTGGGAAAGTTTAATAGGACAGCAAGTAATAAATGTTGGAGAGGATGCAGTGAGATAGGAACTCTTCTATATTTTGGTTTTATCGTAAAATGGTATAACCACTCTGGAAGGCAGTTTGATACTTCCTCAAGTCCTCAAAAAACTAATCATAGGAATTCCATATGACCCAGTTATTCTATTGATTGCAGTATCCCCCAAGAAAATGAGAACTGAGGCACAAACAGAGACTTGTACACCAATGTTCATAGCAGTGTTACTCACCATTGTAAGAACATGGAAACAGCCCAAATGTCCAACCGCAATTGCATGGATTAAGAAATTATGGTACATTCACATGATGGAATACTATGCAACATGCAGGAGCAATGATTTTTTTAAATTATTACCTAACTTGGGAGGGACAAGAAAGAATTATGCTACGTGAACTAACTCAGTCCCATAAGGACAAATATTGTACAAGATCATTACTATAGAATGAGTATGAGAATCCACGGGCAGGAGGGTTTGAGAAGGGTTGTTAATCATAGGGTCACACAATTTGATGGGAGGAAGGGGTGAAGGAAATGGCAAAGATCTGATGTGAAAAACAATGTATATGAACCTTTAAATAAACCAATATAAAAGAAAAAATTAAAAATAAGAAAGGGGAAATTTAAAAAAAAAGAGAGAAAACTTTAAAAGAAAGCAAAATTCCTACAGTCAGGTAGATCTGGGCTCATAGTGACCCGACAGGACAGATGAGAGCTATCCATATCTTTTCTGAAGCCAATTGCCTCATCTTTCTCCTGTGGGTTTGACAAGATGAGTTTTAGATTAGTAATCAAATTCTTAATTCGCTGCACTGACAATTTCTTTAAAACAATTTTGGCTTGTATTAATCATGCCTTAAAAGTTTCTCTTTCTAGTTTATGTTTTGGCAAAGTGACTGCAAGAATAGGTCAAGCACAGCAGCCAGTGTGAAGATCGTGCGACATACGGCCACGTTCTTTTGTAGGTAGGGTTGCTATGAGGCGAAAAAAACTCAACAACAATTCATAACAGCAACACCACCTCACATTTAAGTGAAAGTTCATGAAATTAAAGCTCATGTGGTTATGATATAGTCTGATTCCTGAGTTCATAGAAAGTGAAAATTTTGCCATCAAGAACTGAAAGAAAAGACAGCAATGATAAAGATTCATTCATCAGGGTCAAATGGTTTTTGTGCCACTTAAATCCTGCCCTTCTCTTATCTCTTTTCTTGCTCAGTAAATTACAAACATTTGAGTGAGTTCAGACTCTTTACATAGTAACTCATTTTGGAAAATCATTTGTCCATTTCTCAGATTTCATGAGAAAATGCACACAAAACATTCACCTATAAAATATTATGACTGTGTAAGCTTTGGTGGTCTAGTGCCAAGAAGTTGAACTATAATTCCAAAGGCAGGTGGTTCAAGGCCACTAGATGCTCTGCAAGAGAAGACTGAGCAATCCCCTCCCATGCAATTAACTGCCTCTGAAAACCCACCAGAGGGTCAGCTATCGGTTGGTTCCACTCTATGATATACAACAAGGTATCATAGAACACTTCTGTGAGGTATGGAAACCAGTGTTCTTTGTAGAAATGAAGCAGAAAGTATAAATAGCTACAAAGTGGCCAATGTCTTAATGCAAAAAATGATCACCGCAAAAGCTAATAAAACCCTGCATCAAGCCATGTCCTCTGGAGGTATGACAGTTAATCTGGGGGAAATAATGTGTTCAGTAAAAGAAGTTAATGATTCACTGAATTTAGATTAATACCCATTTCTGCAGGTTGATGTTCTTGGTAAAAGTGATGAATAATTTTAGTTCAGGTAAACAGTGATAATTAGAGTCAAATGATACAGTGGAAAGGATTTGGGTTAAACTTATAAAATTATGGGCTTTATGAAGAAAAAGTAACATCAGGATTGGAGGAAGATTCATCAATAACTTGCTGTACAGAGATAGCATAACCTAGCTTGTTGAAGGTGAGGACAACGTAAACTGCTTGCTACATAAAATCTATGCTACGTAAAAAGACTATACCCTTAAACATGGATTGGATCTCAATATCAAGAAAATACAAATCCTCACCACTGGTCCAATAGACAACATCATGATAGATGGAAAAAAAATTAAATTTGTCAACTATTTCTTTTTAGTTGGTTCTACAGTCAACAACCTTGGTACCAGCAGTCAAAAATCAAAAGATGTGCTGCATTGGGAAACATGTGATGTCAAGGACCTCTCCAAAGTGCTAAAGATAAAACATATCAGTTTAAAGACTAAGGTACAACCATCCAAGCCAATTTCTTTTCATCAAATGCATTTCATCAACATTAGCCGAAAACAACAAATTAAAAAGAAATGGATAGCCTGCCTGAAAAGATCTTTTTCAAATGAGTTTTCTTTTTGTGTGTTCAATACCCAGTGACCACACTAACCTGCAACAGAGAATGAGCTTGGATGATGCTACAGTTCCAAGCCTCATATGATAAGAACCTGAAGACAACTAGAAACTGTGCCCATTTTCATTAATAAAACAGTGCCAATTTTATTAGGATCCCAATGTCTGAGACTTGGTAAAATGTCTATAAGATTTCCGTATTTTTCTCATTCCCTATCAATCCTTTCTCTGTTCCACTGCATTTGCACATACAGTAAAAAGGAAAAAAAAATCTATTTCCTCTAGTTGTTGTTGTGCCATCAAGTCATAATCAACTCATAGCCAACCCTCCAGTAGGTTTTCAGAGGAAGTAAACAGCAAAAAAGGAGATTGCTTATCTTTCTCCTGTATAACCGAGTGCAGAGACGACAGCACAGCTTCTTAGGCAATATGATAGTGTGCTGCTTCTGTTGTGTGCGTGTATGTGGATGAAAGAGAGATAGAAAAATTATTTCTCAAAAGAAAACTACAAGTTCTTCGGGAAAATAAGGTATTTATGCTTTTTGTAACTATGCATGGTTTCCAGAACAGCTATTGTACTAAACAGATTCCATCAATGGCACTTTCTGGTGGAATGACTTATTACTGAAATTTAAATTACAAAATATTCTACAATTTTATTAAACTATTAATGTGCCAAATACTATCAGCACCAACCTCTTACCTCTTTCCCATTGTTATTGTGGTTGTGTACCATGAAGTCTGAACTAACCCATAGCTGACTCTCTGGCAGGTTTTCAGAAACAGTAAGTCACAAAAGAGGAGATTGTCCATCCTCTGGGGAACAGCTGGTGACTTTGAAATCTGTACCTTCCTGCTGGCAGCAAAGCTCCTTACCACTAGGCCTCCAGAGCTTCCTTTCCCCTTTTTTCTCTCATTAGAAAATAAATTCTTACCTCCCACTTAAAACATCCTTTTAGTGAAAGTTTCCTCAGCAACATTCAATTTCACATACGCACATTATTTCCATTGCTCACAAATTTACATATAAACATTTACTCAAGTAATCTTTTTATGCTAATATCCTTTCATAGTAACTGATCTTGAATTCAACCTCTGCAGCCACTTCTCTTCTCTGCAAATCTCTCAACATAGTTTTATCTTTGCATTCTAAAACTTTTTTTTAAATTCAAATATTTTCCACGTTTATATGCTATACTTCCCATTTTGGGTATTCATGTAGTCTGGGACAATATTTATCCTTTATTTGCATTACTCAAATTGCTCAAATTCAATGTTCTGAAAACAGATTATCAAACTTTTTTTTTCAGTTATGAAGTGAATGTTCTCTGACCCTACAGATTCTTAGGATCCCTTTAACACAGCCCCAATCCTCTGAGTGACTCTCCTCACAGCCTCTTTCACCTCCTTGTTACGAAGGGTGTAGATAATAGGGTTGAGGAACGGGGTAAAAAGAGCATACAGCAAGGCAATCTGCTTGTCCATACCCTCAGTCTGTATTCCAGGTGGCCTCACATAGACTATAAAGGCAGAGCCAAAGAAGAGTGTCACTACAGTTATATGAGAGGAGCAGGTGGAGAAAGCCTTGGCACGGCTGGCAGCTGAGGGAAGCTTCACCACAGCCCTCAGGATGCCCCCATACAGTCCCCAAATGAACATAAGATTGCATGCATTGATCACTCCTATAACCAAAATATGGACCCGAGCATGCCAGCTTGTGTCAATGCATGCCAAATGCATTAGTGGTGCCAAATCACAAAAGTAGTGAGCCACCTCCTTGAAGCAGAAAGGAAGAGTGGCTGTGAGGCTGGCTGGCACAACCGCTGCTGAGAAACCAGCCACCCAACTGACCCCTGCTAGCCATCGTTGTACCTGTCTGTTCATGAGCGCATGGTAGTGGAGTGGGCGGCAGATGGCCAGGTAGCGGTCCAGTGCCATGGCACACAGCAAATAACATTCAGAAATTCCCAAGGAATGGAAGACATACAGCTGGATGAAGCACATAGTAGATGGGATGGATGAAGGTCCATGGAGCAAGGTATGCAACAGTGTGATCACCGTGGTGCTGACATACCAGAGCTCCAAGAAGGAGAGGACACTGATGAAGAAGTACATGGGTGTGGACAGTCCAGAATCCACTCGAACCAGAACAATGATGAACAGGTTCCCTGCCAGTGTGAGGAGATAGATGCACAGGGTTCCCAGGAAGGCAAGAGGTCGCAAAGTCCCAGAGGTAGTAAAACCAACAAGGATGAAATTTGGGATCCAAGTGTGATTGACATAATCCATCATTCCTAGGGACAAAAGGTAGAAGACAAATATGAACTTCTTTAGGCTACTATTTCACTTGTGAAATTTTCCAAGAGCGGAAGTATAAAATACATTTACTTAAAGGGATCTTATACATTGTTTTGTTATTGTTGTTAAGTGCTGTTGAGACAGAGACCCTATGAACAAAAGACCTAAACCCTGCTCTATAACTATCATCATTTCTCAAAGTTGTTTTAGTCATCTTAAACCACAAATGGTTAGTTTAAACAATGTATTTATTTTCTCAGTATTTAAGAAATTGGAAGTTTTAATTCAGGGTATTGGTTTTATTTAAAGTTTTCTGTCTTTGTCATCTTTGAATGAAAGCCCATCTCTCTTTTTGGTTTGGCTCCTGGGAAATCTTTGGATAATTTGCCATCTTTCTTTCTCTATTACTGCTTTTTGTTTGTGTTTAATCTCATTTATGAAAATATATTGATTCAACAATCTCTTTAACTCTCTAATATACCTCTTTAACTTGACAAAGACACTTCTTTCCAAAGGGATATTCACCACAGGCATGTCGCTGTTGTTGGGTGCCCTCAAAGCCAAGAACACTCATAAAAAGCCTAATGAACAACAGCTCCAAACCCTGTCTCATCCTGTGCCATCCTCACAATCTCTGATGCACTCAAACCCTTTGCTGCAGTCACTGTTCTGTTCCATGAGATTGAGGGTCTTTCTCTCTTTCGCCGACCCACCGCCTTCCTAAGCATAACGGAATTAGGATTTACAACACATATTTTGAAAAGAGTCAATTCAATCAAGAGCACACATTATCAAATTTAACTCTCCTCGCTTTGTAAAACAGCAAGTGAAGACCAGAATAGAGAAGTGATTTACTCAATATTACCATTTTATGAAAAAAAAGTTGGAAAGGATTCTGTTCCTGATTCACCAGCTAGCACTTTTATTATTGTACGGATATGGCATCAAAATTACAGGTACTAATATCCCTTCCTATATATCCCATTAGGAAAAAAAATATCTAAATCTCCCACATTTAGCTCTTCTATAACCCCTAACAAAAAGCCCCACAATTCTTCAAACTGTTACCTATTCTGTATCTCACAGTAAGTGTATTTAGCTGTGCAGAAGAGATGTATATATTTTCTTAGAAGATACCCCTGAGGATACTCCATGAAGGAGCCTCTTTGGAGTTCAAGGGAGTTCCTAGTAAGGTCTAAAGAACAAAGAACTGGAAAAGAAAAATTTGTATACTTGGAAAGCAGTCCCTAAAGACTCAGAACAGTAGAGTCAGATAAGAAATGTTTGGGGGCAAGGGGAACCACCACAATGATGGGCATCTTACAGAAGAATTCCCAAAAGATATACACCAAGAATTTCTGGAGGAGAAAATAGATAAAGGCATCTCCTATGGTTCTGGTATGGAAATCCTGTACTGTAAGAAAAGCATCATCCTCTGGAGGTTTGACGAACTTGGTGTGCTGTTAACTCTCAATGGACTTTGAGCTGGACTATTTCTCCCCTCTTCATTCATTTGAAAAGAGAGAGAGAAAAAGAAAGATGTTTTGTGCACTTTAAAACCCTAGAAGCCTATGCTATTCTAGTGAAAAGCGTTATTTCTTGGGTAAGAATGGAGATAAGTGGTCAACACCAGCACGCCGTGAGTTTTTCCCTCATAGAGGCCAAACTCAGAAAAAAATGTCAAAGCCTTCTTCTCATTATCTTTAGCTACTTCCATTTCTGCTATAACATCCTCACCCATTTTCTGATTGTTTGAATGATGTTATGATGTGTGACTTTTATTTTTCATGGGTTTTATTTAGGGTTACCCCAAAATACTTCTGCCTCATACTCCTGAGTTATTAGCCTTGTGGAAAGTTTCCTTATTGTCTATTCTCTGGAGCTACTAGTTTTGTGACTAACTCTCAGTAAGAGGTACTCTGATACTATGATTCACTTCACTAACAGTATTCACTAATTCATTAACATACTGCACAGCAGGAGTGCACATAGAACAAACTATACTGTGTGAGAGAAGTCACAATAAAAAAGAAAATTGTGATACATGGCTTCATACTATTGAGTTGGAACCAACTCACAACTGAATTTTCAGTGGTTCCTCAGAGGCAATAAGTCATACAGGAGGAGACTGTCCATCTTTCTCCCTTGGAGTAGCTGGTGGGTTTAAACTGCTTATTTTGAGGTTGTAAGCACAACTCCTTAATTGTAATACAAGACCACTATTATAAAAAGCTAAGGAAATGTTTACATGCAGATAGAATCAACTCGGTAGATTTAACTGGGAATGGGAGGGAGGGAGGCAGGAAGAGGGAGTAAAATATAATAAATAGATAAGTTGTGTAGAGGGAAAGGCAATACACGATAAGGGGTTGATTAGATACTGTAATTAATTAGTTACATTAATCATGGTAATTAACAATATAAAACAAAATGTAAAGAATTGTATGAAAACCCAATTTATAAATCTTCAAATAGACAAAACAAATAATAAATTATGAAGTCATCTGGGAACAATGTTAAGCACAGGGAAATGAAGCAGATCATTTTAAAGTCTCAATTAATTTTTCTCAGCTTTACAACTTCATTGTAGGTCTTTTGAGTACAAACCCAAAGATGTTGGTCTCTGGATCAATTGAGCTTTCTGTGGCTCACAATAGATTTCCATGGTGAGAAAAAAAAATCTGTTCTATACATTTTTCTGTGTAACTGTAGAATAACACTGTAACCTCTCAGAAGTAAGTAAATAAGTCTCATTTTCTTTCAAATTTTCCTTACAATGAGACTCTCCTTTCAGCTTCTCCCTTGATGTCAATCTTCTGGGCCATCTGCATAATAAAGGTTATTGATAAGTGTTTTTCCAATCCTGTTGCCACATTCTTCTTCATAGAGTCCAGCTTCTTGAATAATTTCCTCAGCATACAGATTAAATAAAAATGGAGAAAGGATACAACCCTGACACACACATTTCCAATTTTAAACCACACAATGTGGTTTATACAATGTGCTTGCATACAGCCTCTAGTTCAGGTATAGGTTTCACACAAACACAATTAAGTGTTCTGAGATTCTCATTCTGCTCATTATTAGCTATAATTTGTTATTATACACACAGTCAAATGAATTTGGATAGTCAACAAAATACAACTGGAATTTTTCTGGTATTCATTACTTTAGGCCAGGATTCATGTAACATCAGCAACAATATCCCCAGTGCCATGGCCTCTTCTAAATCCAGCTTAAACTTTTCTATGTACTGTTCTAAGTGTTTTTGAATGCTCCTCAGCAGTATTTTTCTTTCTTGTACACTCTGCACTGGGAAAAATCTGCAGTTAGGGACCTCTCCAAATTATTGAGGAGTAATGATGTAAGTTTGAGGACTAAGGTATGTCTGATTCTGGCCATAGTCTTTCCAATCATTTGCTATGCATCTGAGAGCTGGATAGTAAATTAGGATGACAGAAGAAGAATTGATACCTTTGAGCTATGGTATTGGAAAAGAGTGCTGAACATCTTATGGGTGGCTAAAAGAACAAATAGATATGTCTTGGAGAGGGTACAGCTGGAGTGCTCTTTGGAGGGGAGAATGATGAGGTTTTGTCTTACATATTTTGGGTATTTTGCTAGGAGGAGCTATTCCATGGAGAGGAACATGATGCTGGGAAGGATGGAGGGCCTGCAAAGGAGAGGAAGACCCTCGACTAGGTGGATTGACATGGTCACTGCTGCAATGGGCTGTTCTGTGACAGAAACTGAGGAAGGCACAGGATAGAAGAGAGTTCAGATCTTTTGTTCATAGGGTCACTATGAGTCATATTTGACTCAATGGTACCTAACAACAACAATATTGGTAATGTTGTTCAATAATTTCTAAATCCTGTTGGATCACCTTTCTGGGGAAGAGGAACAAATCTCTTTCAGTCAGTTGGCCAGGCAGCTGTCCTTCAAATTTCTTGGCATATATAGGATTGTATATGTCTTTTGAAGTATTTAAATTGGTATCTCATTCAATCCCAGGGCCTTATTTTTTAATTTATTTTTTTTGTCAATGCCTCAGTGAAGCTTGAATGTCTTCCTTCATTACTATTGGACCTTTATCACATAGTTCTTATTAGGTGCCACTGAGTCGAATACAATTCACAACAACCCTATGAATAACTAATCTGAACCCTGCCTCATTCCATCCCATTCTTACAATCTCTGACACAATCAAATCCATTGCCACAGTCACTGTGTCAACCCAACTGATTAAGGGTTTTGCTGTCTTTCACCACCTCTTAACTTTCTTAAACATGATGTCCCTTTCCTAGGAATAGCTTCTTCTTACAACATGCTCTTCTGACATCCATTTTGGTCTTTTTTTCCTCCTCTGTCTTTGTAATGAAAGTTTGTACTCTTCTTGGATGATACCCTTGATATCCTCCCACAACTCATCTGGTCTTCAGTTGTTCGTGTTTAAGGTCTCAAACCTGTTCCTGAGATGGAACTGAAATTCAGGTGGGATAGACTCAAAGTCATATTTGGGTTCCAGTGGATTAGGTTTAATTTTCCTCAGCTTCAGCTTAAACTTGCACAAGAGTAGTTGGTGGTCTGTTCCACAATCAGCTCCTGGCCTAGTTTTCACAGCTGATATTGAGCTTCTCCAACAGTTCCTTCCACAGATGTAATCAATCTTATTCCTATGCATACCATCAAGTAAGATACATGTGTATAACCTGAGTTTATGTCTCTTAAAAATGTGTTTGCAATGAATAAGTCATTGATTGTGCAAAATTCAATCATTCTATCTCCAGCTCCATTTCTGTCACCGAGTCCATGTTTTCCAACTACTGAATCTACTTCTCTGTTCCCAACTTTTGCAATCCACCACCAATTATTATCAATGCATCTTGATTGCATGTTCAATCAATCAAAAGTTGGTAGAAATCTTCTTTTTTTTCTATATTTTATTAATTTTCATAAACATTTACAGAGATTTTGGGTTTCCATTCATT